TTAATTCATTTGACAAAGGATAGCAGCTATTACAGATCTAATAATGTAATTTGTGTATCTAGATATTTATCTGATCCAAATTACCAAATAATATTTAGCATGGAAAAAGAAAAAACCCTGAAAATTCAATAATGGGCACCACAGGTCTCACAAGATAGTGGTTTATAAGCACATTATATGTTCTGTTTTCAAGGCAGAACATATCTATATTTTCAAAACAAATATGGGAAGTTATATCTTAAAAGGGACATGTCATAACATTATTCTCTTATTATATATAGCAATTCATACATATTAGGAAATGCAAGACTATTATCAACATTTCCCAGAACATACAATTAACACATTCTGTTACATATAATTTTCAGTCAAACTTTGTTCATGCAATTTTTAAAAGCTAGCAGATGGTTTGTGCATTAGCCCACAATAAATTATAACACTTAGAAAGACAGTTATATACCAAGAACTGCAAAAAATTCAAGCTACGGATGACCCTTCTGATTTTTAATAATCTTTGTAATTGATGTACAGGCAAAAAAAACAAAAAACAAAAACCCACAGATGTCTAATGCGGCTTCTTGATGAAGCACAAATCACTTCTATTTACTCAGGCAATGCTTCATGGTCCAGTTCACTTCTTAATTAAAGACATCAAGATGCACACAAATGGCATTGAAAAGAATGTTTAGTGTGCAATATGTTCAGCTGGGGGTTTTGGATACTTTGCTTGTTTCTGGAAACCCTGACTCATTCATCTATCATTTCCCTTTAAAACATGGCTAAAACACATTTAATCCCTGTGATAGTAAAGAAGTTGTGGCTTCTCCCTAGCTAATTTATTTTTATTATCTGCTTGGAATATTAAGCTATGTTATCAAATATTGTAAGTAATACATAAAGAATTTTTGTAAAAAAAATGAGCAGTATTATAGCTAGGTAATACTTAGCTGAAAAGGACAGAATAATATAAATGTGACAATCCTTCCTGATATATTTAACTTGGACCCTAAGATTTAACTTGGATACATTTTTTATAAGTTTATCTCTAGCTGCATAGACGATTCCATGGACAAATTCTCCTAGCTTGGCCTTCTCAGCAAACAGCTTTGTTGCATTTTTTTTTTTTAAAAGAAGATGAGTGTCATACATTTGTAGCTGTCTAGAAATAAAAAGATTAATCCTAAGGAGGAAGGAACTAACAAACTTAGACAAGATAATTTATGATAAGAATATTACTATGATAACAAAGACTGGCTAGATAAAGCAACGGTTTTTCCAACGGGAATGTATACTGTAGTTGTGAAAGCTGGACCCTGATAAAGAGTGAGAGTTAGAAAATAGTTCCTTTAAATTATGGATTTTAAGTTGATTAATAAGAGTGCCACTGATTGCAAGAACACTCACTCAAATGATCCTAGATGAAATAAAGCCTGACTGTTCTCTTGAAGAGATGATCAGTAAGAAGAAACTCACATATTTTGGATGTGTGATAGAAGCAGGTGATGGACTAGGAAAAATATGCTTGGCAAGGTTGAAGGAAATGAAAGAAGGGGAAGAGAAGAAAATAAATGAACAGCACCATGGAGACCCCTAGAATGATCTTGGTAAAATTATGGATTGTTATTAGGAATGGGTTGAAATAATGAGCATATGTCCATAAAGTTGTCATGGTTCTGGCTTGACTCAATGGCATCTAATAATTTCTCTAGCTAAAAAGGTATTGTACATTCATTCTAGTTTATAACTGGTAACATGCAGAAAATGATTGTTTAAGTCACAGACACCGTGTAATTTTATGAAAGGTAGGAATTATGAGATCATCAAGAATAATATTCAAAACGGATTTGAAGGAACAAAATAATGTAAAAATGAGAATGTAATAAAAATCAGAATCAAGTGTAACTCCTTTTCATAAAAACTTTGTCAGTTTGCACCAATTATCTAGGGTGTAGGTCTGTTTGATACCATTCGTTGATTTCCATCAGACCACAATATTTGAAAAGCAAAGCAAAGCAGTGGAAAAAGTTGGAGTGGGATTCTAACTACAAATACCTAGAACAGCTGGAGTCTGAAAAACCTGAATATACAAAAAAGGACAGTTTAGGACATACCAAGGCTCTTAAGGTAACTAGGATCCTAGGGGTTTTTGGTTCTCCATCCCCTGCCTCCCAACAAAACTATAAACTATGCCAACTTAAGATCTGGCATAGTAAATCACTTCTTCACTTAAAACACTATCTCAGATCCATCTCCATTACAGAATGACTGTTTAAGGATTGTTTTGTTATGAACAACCAACTTGACTAGCCATTCTGTTAGCCTGATATGTTCATTGATACCTAAGAATAATTTGGGCTCCTTGGCATATCATGCACAACCCCTTTATAACCATCATTTTCTTTGTATATGTTTGATTCTTCACAAAAAGAAGGCAAACACAGCATTTCATAGCATAAAATATACATTAAAGTTTAGAAAAACGTTTCCTTTAGTAACTGCAAGTAATGTATAATTTAACAACTTTAGAAATCTGTTTATAAAACAACAAAGCCATTTTTATGTCTTTTGAATTTATCAAAATGAACTAATTTCTACCGGTCAAAGAGCTTCCCTTATTCCTAAAAACACTAAGATGTGAAAATATCCTTATTAACTCTTCTTTACAACTGTCTGCTATTACCTGGGTTAATCTAGAACCAATTTACAAAGGTTATAACTTGCAGATATGAAAAGAAATTTTTATTGGATATTGCATTGAATATTCCAGAGAAGACTACTATACAAATCATATTAAGGTTATTTAATTAGTTTTTTGTGACTAAATGAAACAGAATGTAATATAGGAGTCAAATTAATACACCCAAAATTAAGCAGGAAATATGATCCATCCCACTTTGTATCGCCTGAAAATTAAATAAAATCTCTATCCTCTTCATTTTAAGGTTACTGGTTAAATAAGAACATCTCAGATGTTTTGGAGGTGCACACAATATATTAAAAGCTATCATTAAAATGCAATTGCTGTTATTATGAAATAGATGTCACCTTTTTTTTTACAATGTTTAGGAAATATACTCCCTATCCTCTGTCCTGTTTCTCTTCAAAGCTTCTATCTCATTTCCTAATTATTTTTCAGGATATTCTGGGCAGACGTTCTCCATCTCCCTCAGCTAACAAGAGCCAAGAAAAACCCCTGTGTACTGTGTACTGTCTCTCAAATAAGGAGAAATATTTAAAAATATGTCATATGATGAATTAAATGGTAAATGTTATATGCACTAAGCAGCTCCTTAGAGTTGTCCCTAGTATCAAACTAGTTCTCTTCAGCACAACAACTAGGGATATTGACATGAAAATGTTTGAGCTCAAAATGCCCCTTTGCCTCTGATTTGCTGGAACTGGGTCTGTATGTGTGTGAGGGATAATAATGCATTTCCAAATAATTTTTCCATGAAACTCTGCAGCTTCAGACTCAGGAGGAATGTTGGTGGCTTGTCAGAAGTGGAGTTGAATCAAAATCCTGAAAGTTGTACAAACCAATATTGAAGGGAAATTGCCTTTTGAGGAATGAGAAAGCAGAGTTTCCTGGGGAACTGCAATATCCAACAAGACATGATACATGGCACAAACATCTACAAGAGATTTTTTTTAAAAAGTGATTCTCGCTTCTTAGGATCTCATGAACGATGACCAAAAAGGAGTGCATACAAAATTCCTCAGCCTGATTTTTATCTTTCTTTCTAGATGTGAGTCAACATAGAACCCCTAGGATTAGAGAGAGTATAACACCTTATTACTAGAGGCAAGGGACAATTCAAGACAATTCTATGCCTTGCTTGTGAATCTGCCACAGTATGCAACTGGCACTACAGAACCAGAGTATGGGACTTGTTGGATCTTTGGTGTAAACCAGGAAGGCTGTTCTATTTGTTAATAAACAATGTTGTAAGTTCTTCCTTCTCCCTGCTGGACTCTTTGGCTTGAACTCAGTAAAAGCTCCCCGGAACACAGCTAGATTATATATTCAAATGGAGCCACTGTAAGCAATTGACTGGCCTCTGTAATTTCCTTTATACCTACTATAGTTTAAAACCAGTGCTTCTTTTTTATGCCTTTCCCATGTCTTAACAGACACCTTGCTTTGGCTTCTGGGCTTGAGGCAAAAGGGCAGTGGACCATTGGCATGATCAGCATTCCTGTTCCAAAAAACTCTAGCTCCCTCAGGGTAATTCTCCCATACAACCTCCATAACTTTCCTCCTTTAGAGCAGTGGACTTAATGTTTAGTCCACACTGACTATAAGCTAGTTGTCCTGTGACTGATTTGCTTTTTCAGTTAACACAGGAAGGGAGATTGCTTAAACAAGCTAGCTCTTCCTAAGCTGTTTTTCTGAGCAGAGTGCTGCTTGCTTACCAAGCATGAGCTGTGAACGAACAAACTCTGACCTTAATCAGTTACAGATATTTCCTTTCACCTCGCATGTGGTTCATGCCTTACTGCCAAATGGCTTAATGAGGGAAATTGTATGCGTGACTGTGTACCTTTCTATGGGTATTTCCCATTGTCCAGCTACAATGGGGAATACCAATCGTCCTTTTCCTCTCCTTTAATTACAGAAACTAAGTAAATAGAGCATCCAGTTTCCTTCTGGTTACTCCTCCCTAGACTAAGGTGAGCAGTCCAACAGATGGAGGGAGGGAAGAGTGGGGGGCTCTAAGATCTGACTCCTAAAGGCAACCATTTTGTAAGCAGATACCATGGCATTTCCTCCTTGCCAATTTGGTTCAGTGCAGGTGACCTCCGATGCAGTAAATACCGGATTTTCATTAATAAGCCCTTATTAATTGTAATTATCCTGGTGTCTTCTCTTGTGTTTACCTTTTTTGATATGCAACCTACAAATTCTAAATTAGCTGGCCACACTAGTAGTGTTATAGTAGTGACATATTTTCAGTAATACAAGGAAATAAAGATTTTTTTAGAAGTTCTGGGTGACTTACTGTCCTGGACCGGATTTCTTTGGCGTAGAGAGGTTTCAAGAATTCTGAATCTCCTTCTAGCTTTAAACCTTTTTCTGTAATCCTTAGGTTTCCCATTCCATCCTGAAATATATAAATATATAAAAGGGTTACTATGAGTTTATGAAACCATTACTATGATTTCATAAAATAGAGGCTGCAAAAGAAAAAAAAATCTTAGGGGAAAAACATGACATAAGCTTTGCAATTCAATCATTCTTTTGGCTTAGGCTTTGTGAGAAAATTGTGTTTCAAACTAGCTAAAATGCATGTCTCCAAATAAGCCATTTATTCGGGTGAAAGAGGTCCTTTAGCTTGTCATCTTGGAGAGAAGGAAGTGAGAAAAAAAGAAAAAGAAAATGATGGGGAGGTATTTCATAAAACACAAAGCTATTCATTAACACTTCCTTCTTTTAACATTTATACTATTATACTATATTCCCCATTCATTGATGACAATACTTCCTTCAGAACAAGAAGATTAGCTTCACAATAATATTTTTAAATAGGAAACATGTTTTATGCACAGCTATAGAAAGTAGGAATCCTGCACACTGAATGATTCTCTTTCTGTCTTTGAACAGCTCACTTATTTTGTTTATTAATAATCTCATTCTGCCTAAACAATTTTAGAAATATTCTATATAGTTAAATATGCTTACCAAAATTCTACAATAAAAAAGAAATAAAAATAATGTTCAAGTGCCAAAAAGCAATTTACCAGAATGAATGTTTTTACAACTCTGCTTAACCTATAGCATTTTATTTTATTTTATTTTTTAATTTAGCACAGGGTTGGGCATCCTTTTTTGTTGAGGGCTACATCTCCTTAGAAATAATCTACAGATGACCACATTGCTAAGGCCATTATTATAATTTTTTTGCCTTTTGCATCCTTCTTCCTTCTCTGATTCTATCTCCTTTCACATGAACCAGATTAGAATGAATTGCTGTTGACAGAGATCTGAACTGATAGTCTACAGAAGGTTTTGAAGTCAGGTTGAGGGCTAACCCTTTCTCTAGCCATTACATTATATAGTGAAGCAGATTATCACATTTCATATGCAATATTCAAGAAACCTGTCATCTGCTACACCAAGCACTGGTTAAAACAATTCTTATGGCTTAACTGGAGCATCTACACCCTGAAGTTCTTATGTTTCCAAGTGTCCTGCCAACAACTGAGTGGTAGGGCCAAAACTGTAAGGAGCAGCATTGGCTCTCTTTTGGTGTTTGTGTATGAACTGGTTAAATGCTCTTGCTGTTGGAAATAGTGGTGAAAGATCAGGGGATCCTAGGTCCATCAGTCAATCTTTATTTTGGTTCCAGATTGGTATAAAATATATGGAATTACAGCCATTCAAAGAATAAGGATTTAACATATAAAATTAGATATTAATAACAAGTTATAGGGATTAGTAACAGAGAACGTTAACACTAAATGAATTTAAATTAAAACAGTTGTACTTACTATTGAAATTAAAACTATAAAGACTAAGATACAATAATACAATATAAACAATAAAACAGAGTAGCGTAAAATAAATGAAATTAAAAAAAAATAGACTAAAAAATAGACAGACCAAACAATCTAGGCTATATTGTCATCTTCTCAAAGATTTGCTGACATAAGAAATTCACTATGAATTCATGAGCAGGCTACATGAAGTTACAGGAATTAGTATTTAAGGTACAAAATAATATCAACCTTACAGCCACAAAACTGTAAAACTTTAACACTATGGTCTAATTGTAAGAATGGTATTTACTGATACCATGACTATTAAGACTATCATGGAAATACAGTATTGACATTAAAACAGAGTAGCATAATATGAATAAAATAAAACAAAAACACTTAAAGTAGTTAGCAAACCAAACAATCTAGAATATATGGTATAATAAACTAAGCATTTCCATTGCTAGCATGAAACTGTATATTCGGTTTATTTAATCTGATCCAAGATCAAACACGTGGAACAGAAAAAGAATGAACAATGCACACAGACAGGAAGCACTAAAATGAGAAAAGGAAAATTCAAGGTTGGAATATAGAAATGCATCCAAGGGACATGCAGCTTTCTCTCCTAACGTTAAAGAATTTGGGCAGTCTGACTAGTACCCCACACAAGAATAATCAAAGCTAGTTTAACCCCAAGCACGCTTAGACTGTTGTGTGCAAATTAGGACTGCTGAAGGCTAACTTGCAAGGCAATGTCCTCTTCCCCTTGCCACATCGTCTAGGGCAGTGTTTCTCAACCTTGGAAACTTCAAGGTGCTGGCTGGGGAATTCTGGGAGTTGAAATCCACACATCTTAGAGTTGCCAAGGCTGAGAAACACTGGTCTACAGCACACATGCAACGTGTGTACACACTCAGGATGATTCTTTCTTTGCTTGTTTATTTTTTACCCTTTCATCTTCATATGCCAAATTCACGCATAACTTTGTTTAAGGTAGTCAGACTACTTTGAAATGACTCCAGAAATTGTATTACTTTATTCTAATGGAAGAAAGGAACAAAATGAAATAATGAAAAGAAAACCAGTAACTCAATAATACAACATTTTCTCCTGCCAAACCAGGAAAAGAAAAAAAGAGAATACAACATTAATCCATTTCATCCATGCTCAGCATAGAAACAATAATTTGTAATAACGAGGCTGAATCGAAGACATCACTTTAAAGGAAGAATTCCCTTTCGGTAATTAAAAGCTCAGAGTTTACTTTGCCTGTCCATCCTGGATATATTACAGAAAATATGGATTTTTACTGGGCAAGGGGTATATTTATATCATGCAAAGAAGGAATTTTAACATACAGGTGAAAATGCTTGCCTATTCAATAAAGAAATAATATGGCTTTAAAGAAATTCAGTAGATTCAAAATTCTGCAAGTTTTTAGAAAACGAATCGTATGTTGTTTCCTATCTCTGACCAAAAAGAGAAAGGGACAAGAACAGTTCATCAAACAGAGTACTGTGGCCTATCCATTCACAATCTTTATGTCTTAAACTCTCATTGTGTTTATCTGTTTGTCTGTCTGTACCCTCAAGTTAACCTAAACAGTGTGCTGTACTGCAACAATTTTTGAATCAAGGTACCTAAAATCTGCTAACTTAAAGAATGCATAAAAAAACCAGGACCCGTTAGTCCTGTGGAATTGAAACTTTCAGACCAGTTTTATTTGCAAAGGTGTGGCAATTGCAGCATCCTCATGGTCACGTGATCATGATTTCCGATGCTCCCTGCCAGCTTCCCACAAGCAAAGTCAATGGGGAAGCCAAAAGGAAGTCAGAAGTCGCTCCTGCTCCCACTGCTTTTTTGCTCACCCATGGTTATTCTGTTCATCTGTTTAGGTAAGTAAATATTAACTTATTATTGAAGTTCGTCTGCCACTACAATTATTTTTCTATGTATGATATATATCCTTCTTTGATGATCACAGGACCATCCAGGATTAGGGTAAAAAAAAGACGGTCAGCCTAAATTTTAATGTTCATTCTGGTCACATCAGACTGCACTACCTTTCTCTCAAAGGATGACACAACAGGTCACAGGGTTATCTAGTGCACTCTAAATTTATGTAAAGATGGACAATCTATAACCATGGATTGCGTATAGCTCCTAATAACCCATTTGTGTCCTCCTCCCCTTGGCACATCTTTTCTTTTCTTGATTACAGAATGAATATAAACCAGCAGTATAATGTGGCAAACAAGATAAATTTCATCATCATCATCAATTTAGATTTATTGTAACCATCCCTCTCCAAAAGACTCTGGGTGGCTTACAACATTCAGTATACAATTTAAAACAATTAAAACCCTAACAACAAAGCATAACAGCCATAACAGGACAAAAACAATTTTAAAAAGATGACAGAGGCTCTACTAACATATTAACTGCAGGCCTGGGAACACAGCCAGGTTTTAATCATGGGAATCACCAGAAATAACTGTTCCATACTATTCTATTGGTCAGACCACACCTTGCGTACTGTATCCAGTGCAAGGAGCAACGCTTTATGAAGGATTCAGAGAAAATGAAAGAGAGAGATTTATCCATCCATACTCCCCCTCCATTAATCTGATCGTATGAATGGAACAGTTTCAGAGAATGGCAATGAGATGATCAGGTGACTAGAAATGAAGACCTATGAAGAGAAATGGAAAGATCTGGGTGTGTTTATTGTTGAGAAAAGGAGACCGGGGGCGGGGGGGGCGGGGGGGCTATAATAGCAATCTTTGAAAACCTGAAAGGATGTCACATAGAGGAATGTCAGGAACGGTTTTGTCTCATTGCAGAGTCAGGACACAAAACAATGGAAAGCAGATTCCAATTGAACGTTAGAAAAACGTTCCAACAGTAGAGCTATTTGGCAGTGCAACCAATTGCCCAGAGAGGTGATAGGCTTTCCTTCACTGGATGGGTTGAAGCAGAGGGTCAGCAGCTGGGATGCTTTAATTTGGATTTCTCCACTGGACACAGGCTTGGATTCCATGGCCAAAAAGGACCCTTCCAACTCTGAATCTGTTTTTCTGTACTTATGTGTTTAAACAAGAAAATGAAATGACTGCAGAGAGGGCAGAATAACTTTTTCTTGAAAAAGAAAGGTAAAGAGTCAATTCATGTCAATTCATTTCCCCCCCCCCCCCTTTTTTGGTTGTTTTTTTTTTTTTTTTTTTTTTTTT